AATTGGGCCTCCGGTAACCTCACTCACACGACGAAACACAATGCAAGCGTTGCTTCACGTCGGTTTTCTGTGAGGCCGTGGTATCACTCCGGTCGAGCCGGCCCATTCGTGCCGAAGCATGGCTCTCCCACACTTGCCCATTCGTGCCGAAGCATGGCTCTCCCACACTTATAGTTACCACAGTTATAGTTTCGACATTGAATAATTGTTGAGATTTTATTGGATTGAAATCGCATTGACATTGAGATTGGTTTCAAGAGTAAGCACCCTGGACATAGAAAGATATTGTTATCTGCCATGATCGTCCCACTGCGGTGGAAGGAGGGTAGGCGGTTCCCACCCTCTTTCCACTTCTCACGGGGCTCCGGCTCGACGTGCAGGAGAAGGAACCGGGTGGTTTTTAGTCAGTAAGAGTCTGACAATCCCTCCCACCTCACCCAGGCGGGAGAAGTTATTCGATGCTTTTCCCCCTTAAAAAAAGTATCCATTATACGGTTATTACAGTTTCATTTTAAAAGTTTAACAAAACAACAGAAAGCCTAAAAGCTACCTATTAAGTGCTAAATGAGTAAATAACAAAAGATGACACATAAATCCATCCATTAGTTCGCTTTAGTGTAATTACGTAAATTGCTATCATTAAATTGATTATAGACTGCCTCGTTGGCCGAGTGGTCGCAAGTGCGACTGCCGGGCAAGGGGTCTCGGGTTCCCGGGTCAGGCAAAATATTGCAGGGTTTTCAAAAAAAAATCTCAGTTCTCTCTGAGTCCGGAATTGTGCCCGGTATATGGCAATAGGCTCACCCCCTATTACATGAGACTCATAACATAAATAGTGAAAAGTGGGTGTTACATTGTACCTACAGTGGCATTAAGTGCCGTAATGTGCACCTCTGCCTACCCCTTCGGGGATAAAAAGACGTGATGTTATGTTATGTTATGTAAAAAATCCTGAATATCCTACGGGAACTGTAGAAAACGGGATTGTGCGTACGAAGTCGCGGGCAGAAGGTTTATTAGTCTAGTTATTAGTCTCTGTGGTCGTTCGTAACATGTTATAAGCGAGTTCTAACATACAAACAGAACAATTTCCACATAGAAACATAATTATTATTATTACTTCTTTAGAAAGGGTAGATTAAATATAATTACCATGGACGAAGATTCTAATAGTTAAATTACCTACTACAATTACACCCAAACTTTACTAAAAGCTCTATAGAATAAAAACTATTCAATATTAAACACAAAAAAAAAAATACTCATTCAATCAAAGCCACCACAGATAACGAAACCTTTATAAAACAGTGTGTTATTATTTAGTCTGTGACTTAAAAAAATACTTTGGTTATATTTTAGATGTATTAAAAAAACATAAATGTGTATTAAAATTCTGATTATTTTTGTTGAAATCTTTGCACAGTGCTAGATCCGAGCTGACTTGGCCAGTTGGTACTTAGTTTCAGCTGTGCATTGCCTGTCACTCACTCAGCCAATATTTATGAAAGAGTTTCATATTTAAATCGATTAAAGAACCTAATTAATCGATAAAAAATTGGATAATCGTCATGGGTAAATCGGATAGGAAGAAAAGACAAAAACGTACCGCTATATTTAGTTGCCTGACTCGAACAAAGTCAATTATCGAGTCGATTAGAGTTTCCATCTCCTCTATCTACAGCATTTACGTGAGATTTTGTATGGAGACAACACTACATGGTCTGAAGCATACTGTCGAGAAGAAACTGCACTGGTTAGAAAGGTAATTGTAACAGGTTTTATAAAATGGTGCACTTAAATTTTGTATTAAAAATCCATATTTTTTACTTGTCTAATGTGACAGGACCATGGAAGTTGGAGACGGCAATATGGCCGTGTTCTTTTTATGAATTTTAGTTTTTTTTTTTCGCTCTCTTGTTCATGATTTCTGTGGAGGTTCTTAATAAAGAGTTCGTGATTGCGTTTTAGTTGCATTATTTACACTGATATGATTATTTATTATTTAATTTTTAAGCTGTAAATATTATAGTTCATAGTTATTTATATTTTAAGTTGTATATATTTTCATTTAGTAATAGTTAATATTAATTTTATATTCTATTGATTTAAGGTGTACAATAAAGGTACGTTTTCGTTATCAATTTTTACACAATAAATTTCTTTATTTCTCCGCACAATGACACTTATTATGGTTGTACAATTTATTTATTTTCTAGTTTTTATAGCAATTCGAGGAGCTAGATTCTGTGTGAGGCGTAAAATACCTGTATTACAAATCTCCAGGTCCCCCCCACCTAGGGTTGCCACCCGTACTTTATAATAAAGTATTGTACGTTATTTAAGGTAATTGTACTCTATACTTTATAAAAATAATAAAGTACACGAAAATACTTTATTTTTGCAAAATTCTATATCGATATTTATCGATTTATGTTGAATCGATTTCGCCACTCGCTAGCGCCACTTAGACAATTTCTAGTAAAGATGCAATTGTTTAGTACCTATTTCAATGCAATTGTTTAGTATAGGTACTAATTTAATACAAACTGCAAAAAGCAATATAAAGTATACTTTATTTTTTGTACTGTGTACTTTTTTTCCTTACCTATAACCGTCAATGTACTTTAAATACCAAAATAAAAGGTGGCAACCCTACCCCCACCCCACAAACAATTCATCAGTGCTTCTATTGCTGTTCCAGGATTTTAATAATGTACCTATGTATGTAATTGTTTTCTAGATTGCTCTGGCTATTCTTGACCCTGAGTGCATTCGGTGGTGCAGTCTATTGCGCTCTTACTCAATACTTTAGGTAAGAGCTACCCTTTAATAATTAAATGTACCTATAACGCTTAAGAAGTCCCTAAAATTAAATACCTACGCAAATATAAAACGTAACAAATAAAATTACGTTCAATAAAAAACAATATTAAAAAATAATTCAATTCAAAAATCACAAATACAAACATTCGCGCGGTCTCTCACTCACTCACTCAGTGAGATGCGCAACATCGCCGCGACCGCGCACGCTGCTCATGAGGAAGAACCCCTCTGTGGTTCGAAACTAGTAGAGCTTTTCTCAGTATATTCACGTGAGTAACCCGCGATTCTAGTTAACTTAGTATGTCTCACGATAGTTATTATAAAAAGAATGCAAATATTGCTATGAAATAACAAATGGCACAACAGATTTCCTTATAAATATTGTCAGGTGTTTAATCACTGTTCTTAATTCAGGTATAATTCAGAGCCAGTCGTGGTTTCCTTACAACGGGACTACAGGAGTTGGTGGACCACCTTCCCTGCTGTGACTGCTTGCTTCCTGGACAGGGTGCAGCCTGATAAAGCGAGGGAGCTGGTCGAGGAGTAGGTTTTATTTATTTATTTACTATCTATTTCTCGGTTTCACCCGTTGCTCGGCTTTTTTATAGTAGCGTGATGTTTTATAAGCTACTAGCTTTTACCCGCGGCTTTGCTCGCGTCACAAAATGATAAAAAGTAGCCTATGTGACATATACACACAGCGCCATCTGATTTTCCTCGAGAATATCAATTTTTCTTTTCATATTCATTCAATATTCATTTTTCCGGAATAAAAAGTACCCTATTATTTAATCCAGATTTCTAACTTCACGTCTGCAAAAATTCAAAGCAATCGGTTTAGTAGTTACGGCGTGAAAGCAGAACAACCAAACAAACAAACTCACTTCCCGATTTATAATATTATAGTAAGGATTGACTGCTATTGTGTTCGTCAATAAATGGACTAGGTACCCAACACAGAAAGAATTAACTATTCAATTCGGATCGGACCCAAAGACGTTGAAAAAATGAACATAACGGTCCCTCAGAAATGATTGAAGCACCAAAATGTCTGTGGGTTATTTGCGTACATACATACATACATAACTTCACGCCTGTCCCCCATGGGGGTAGGCAGAGACTATGGAACGCCAATTACTACGGTTCCTACATACCTCTTTCGCTTCATCAACAGTTATTTATGTGTACAGTAATGGTTATTTAGGTGTGCTTGTGTAATGGTTTTTTTATGGCGTTACCGGCTTTTTGGGGATTAGGAGTTTGAGGACCGTTGGGTATTCAGGGATTAGGGAGATTGGGGAGGACGGGGGGCAATTGGGTCTCCGGTAACCTCACTCAGAGGACGAAACACAGGATGTGGTATTACTCCGGTCGAGCCGGCCCATTCGTGCCGAAGCATGGCTCTGCCACACTTAAACCACGTTACCAGACTTAAGAAAATGACAGATGTCCTTCGTGTCTATGTGTGTGTATACTGCGTGTAAGTGTATAGTAGCCAGGTGCCACAGTCGTTGTTTCAAGAGACTATGTCTGTCTTTTTTACCACATCCTTGTTCGACCATTATTTTGAAGGTTATCCCCGTTTAAACAAACAAACTGTAAGTACCTGTACCTATATAATAGATTTTTACAGCACGTGGAACGTCACAGAAGAATCAGACCCGGAGAAGTACCAGTACTACTATGAGTTTATAGAACTGATAGCTGATGTATCATTTCGGGAGAATTTGCAGAACTTCTGGAAGTATCAGACTGATGACACTGTTAAAGGCATTGATCTGCTGGATTTGGCGCTGACTGTCCATCCTTCGTCTGTTCTACAGGTCATCGTGTCTAATAACGACCATGAGGTTAGATTTAAAAAGTGCTGAAATTAATATATTTAGCATCATTCATCATCATCAACAGCCTATAAGTGCCCAGTGCTGACCAAATGCCTCTTCTCACACGGAGAAGGTTTGAGCATTAATCACTACGGTGGCTCAATGCGAGTTGGCGATTTCAAACGTATAATTATAAATTATAAGCCCAGGTTTCCTCACGACGTTTTCCTTCACCGTTTGTCAGTGGTGTCTAAATAATCTTAGAAAGTACCAACATATAACTTGGAAATGTCACATTGGTACGTGGGCTGTAGAAGACGAGAAAACGACAGTTACATTTGGTTTGTCGTCCTAAGCAACTGTAGTCAACCTGCAGCCATCCAGGCTTTTGATTGGCCCACTTGAAGTTTTTTTCCCGCCTATAAAAGAACGAATGATTCGGGGGTCGGAGCTAATAGGCAGTACCTTCTTGTCGTCTAATTTATAAAGTATATAGGTACATAATGTATCGGCACCTTTGATTTACGTTGTATTTATAACCTACGTTGGCTGCCCGGGATCCTATAACTGACACGTTTTTAGGCCCTAGTAAAAAAGATTGAGTACGGCATGTCTAAGGGCTTCTACACAAAACTGCGATGCGACGTCGCATCGTAAAAATGTGCGAGCTCTCTCTACGCATCGCAAGAACTTGCGAATTGATTCGCATCGCGCATCAATATCTTATCTTCCCAAAATCTTCTATGTTTCTTTTTCCTGTATCTCCTATGTAATAACAGAAGTGCACACTTCTTTTTACGATCTATATCACGACCTAGTTTTCAATTTAAAATACGTTTAGTACGGTTGACGGTCGTCGATGTAATGGTCACCTTGGGAGATGCCTTGTTGGACGAAATCGCATCGCAGCAATTCACATCGTAATTTTCTGCGTTGCGAATTTGCATCGCATCGCATCGCAGTTGTGTACGAGCCCTAAAACCAACCATGACGTTCAAAAGTTCCGTTTGTAGTGGAGGTTCTAACCTAACGCGCGAATACTCAAATGCTACTCAATTTTACTTTCCATAGGCCTTTAACTGCCGACAAAAACTGTTAAAGGCCAATCCTACGCTAGCGTCGGACATCATTGTCTGACACGGCATCCAATGTGATGCAATTAAAAATAAATTATTTCGTTTTTTCGATACAATAAAATATTAAAAAATAATCACACTTCATCCATCCATAGACGGCGCAGATCGCTTACCATCAGGTGATCCGTATGCTCGTTTGCCTCCTATTCCATAAAAAAAAAATCTTTCATTAATTGATTTTATGATCAACTTAATTTACTATCTTTCCAGCAAATTTTTATTAAGAAATAAGTGTGTTGTTTGACGCTAAAAAAACGTGACGTCACAATACACAATCTCGTACGAAATTCATCGAAAACTGTCGTTGTTGACAGTTCGAAAAAAGTATTGAATTTGACTAGTTGGCAAGTACACAATTCTTGAGATCGTCTTATTCTTAAAATGGAGTAGCGTTTGAGTATTTGACCATTAGTTCTAGTAGTTGACTGTATGTTGATAATAATGATGATGATGTTATTTCAGGTGCACTGGAACCCAGTAATGACAGAAGTGGGAATGTGTTTGACTTTCAACTCTATGTACGCTGAATTTCAGCACATGTTGCAAGAAGTTGATTGGACTCCCTTCGATTTATTGCAGTGTCATTATCACAGTGGACGGTGTTCAGTTAGAATAGACTCTATGAACAATGCTGTAAGAGTGAGTATCGTTTCACTTCGTTTCTCTATACACCAAGGGTACACTAGGGGACATAGAACTGCGACGCGTGTCGCCAGCGACGTCTGGTGGAGTACCGCGACGTTGCCGGACTTTGGACAACATGGCTGGTGGACTTAATATGTTGCGCGTTGTCACCGTATACGACATTGGCCGTCTTCGCTCGAAATGTCGCCGATACATGTCGTGCGACAATAGAGTAGTGTTCAGGCGTAAACGCCTGTTCTAATTCAAAGAGCAAATATTTGTAAAAACCATAATTAATAAAATTTACATAGGCGCTCGGCACGTAGTAGAAAATTCTAATGTCATCGTTCACTTGCTAGAACACCATTATACGTGTAACATCTAATTAATTTATTAAATCGGATTTCGTTAATTTTCGGAGTTTTTTACTATGATTGGCACCATTACATCCTCTAAAGTTGTAACAAGTAGTTTCCAGAGTAAGAAAATTAACAATCTAATTAGTCCGTCAGTTAGATAATGAAATAATATTACACATGAATTTTTTTATTTTCTCGTATAAAATTACAATACTTAAATAAAATGGAGTTAAGTTTAGGAGTGGCAGGTAGTTACGTCACAACGTGTTACATTTTGTTGCACGCTGTGACGTCACACGACATTTCAAATCAATATATCGTCGAAAGCATTTAATTTTGTGAGAAAAGTGAAAAATAAAAATAAAGTTTTAAATTAATACACCAGACGGACATTAAAATAAAATTTAGGAAACTACACTATTATCCCATTGTGATTCCTTGGCTTTTGACTTGATTTTCTCTTTAAACCAATCAAGGAATTTTGGATAAAGCCCCTGCTGTACTAGAACGGAACCACACGGAAGGTAACCATGTAATTTTCGAAACAAAAAAACCAAATACAATGGGCTACCGGAGTTTTTTTTAAGGGGGGAAATTCATCGAATGACTACGCCCGCCTGGGTGAGGTGGGAGGGAGTGTCAGACTCTTACTGACTAAAAACCACCCCGTTCCTTCTCCTGCACGTCGAGCCGGAGCCCTGGTTACCCGTTAAGTTCTCCGCGACAATCAGCTACCCTTGCGGTTTTGTCCCAGCATCCGTTCTTTAATAGGTCAACCACATCAATAACATTAACAGTCTATAAGTGGCCACTGCTGATCAAAGGCTTTTTCTCACATGACGTAGCTACGTCCCACTCCTAAACTTTGATTCGTTTTATCTAAAGATTTTTTTCTTATACGACCAAATAAAAAAATACGTGTCTAATATTTTTTCATTACCTAACTGACGGACTAGTTAGATTTTTTTTCTTACCCTGTCATCATCCCTATTCGAGTGAAAACCGTTGCAATTCCGCTCTATTTCGGTTGAGGCCTGAGTGCCAAGCACGAATAACTATCGCATTCGTAACGTAATAGTATCGAGCGCGTTCGGCGCTCTGATTGGCCGGCTCAAGTGAACCAACCAATCAGAACGCTTAACTCGCTCGATACTGTTACGATACGAATGCGATAGTTATTCGTGCTTGGCACCCTGATCGGTTGACGATTTCAGCCAAGCAAAAATGTATTGAACTAACTTAAAAAAGAGGTTGGAGTCGGTTTTTACCGACTTCAAAAAAAGGAGGAGGTACTATGTTCGGCTGATTGTTTTTTTTTGTTTTTGTTTGTTCGCGCAGTACTCCGCCATTTGTGAACCGATTTCCAAAATTATTGTTTTGTTTGAAAGGGTATTCTCCCGAGATGGTCCCATTTCCAGGTCAGGATCTGATGATGGGATCCTAGGGAAACCGAGGGGAACTTTCGAAAATTCTATGGGCGAGTAATGCGTCTATTATGTTTTTCAATTAGGATTTTGAAACACTACAATTTGATAAGGGTCTGGAGTTGACCTGATGATGGAGCCGACAGGCAGTCGAGGGAACTCCTCAGCGGTTTATATTAACTACCTTGTTAAAGATACTTTTAGTAAGTATAGTTATTCTCCTCTGTGATCTTATAAGACTTCTGTGTTTTCAGTATTTCATCCATTCCCCTTATGAAATATCGACCGCAATATCCAATCCGACCGGTGAAGTGTTACCTGGAGAGGAACTGATCATTGATTATAAGGTAATGAAATAGTATATAATTACAAACTTATAATGCCTATGTCCCGTCTCATGTTGAGCACTTAAAAAAAATTCGAGCTTTTTTGTCTCATTTTGGAACATGGTTTAAAAATCCGATTTTTTTTTATGTTTTATGGGCCGACGTTTGACCACTATCTCGCCTGGTAATAAGGCATTATGCGGCCTTCGGTCGAGCACGTCGTCCCATAAGCAACCTATTCGCTAGGGCCTTGAAGACACCCAGGTTATATACCCTTTAGGAAATACAGACTCTGGCAAAGAATTCCACTCCTTATTACGCACAAGGAAGCTTGATGCGAAGCGCTTCGTGCGTGTGGGTGGGACATCTACCATGAATCGGTGACGCTTCGCTGATTGTCTTGAGGTACGATGATGGAAAGCATTAGGTGGAATTAAGTTGTTGGAGCGGCACATTCGTGGCGCATACTACAGACGTGGACGCACTCTTACAGTTGCAAACAACGACTGCTACTGGAACTGACATTCCCTTAAACTAAAATTCATCTTATATGCTCATATCAGCTAAGCAGAGCGGACGTGACGCATATACGTTGCAACCGCCCAGCGAGGACGTCGCGTGTAACGGACGCCTGGCAAACACATTGTCTTGTATGAAGTTGTATTTATGGGCTCGTACACAAAACTGTGATGCGATGCGATGCAAATTCGCAACTAAAAAAATTACGATGCGAATTGCTGCTATTGAGGTGTACAAAGATCGGTGAGCCTGTGTCTGCGCATACAGATGTATATGTGTGAGTGTCGCAAAGTTATGGCCGGTGTCGCTAGCCGCGTGTAAACTGTTTGTGTACAATTATTATAATAAATCCTATTTAAAGTATTCCTATTTAAACCTGCGTGTTCATTTTATGCTCTAACAGCTGCGATGTGATTTCGTGCGACAAGGCGTCTCCCAAGGTGACCATTCTAAAAAGAACCGTGCACTTCTATTATTGCTTAGGAGATAAAGGAAAAAGAAACAAAAAAGGTTTTGGGAAGATAGGATTTTGATGCGCGATGCGAAACTATTCGCAAGTTCTAGCGATGCGTAGAGGGAGCTCGCACATTATTGCGATGCGACGACGCAGTTTTATGTACGAGCCCTCATGAAGCAACTATAGCAATTAGCAATCTTGTTGCGTATCCGTGACCTCTTCGCTGCGCGGCCGTAGCTTATTCGTGACGCAACTGGGACGTATTTACGACGTACTCGTGGCGTGTTCTTCGACACATTCGCGGTGCGCACGCTCCTTATAAGCCGCTAAAACCTCTAGTATGATAAGGTCGTTATGCTAAACATCTAAATCCATTCATTCGTTTAGAACTAATTATTTATTTATTTATTTTCTTCTTCACAAAATACAACAGTGAATGGCGGACTTAATGCCTTAAGGCATTCTCTTACAGTCAACCATAGGGAAGTGCAGAGAAATGAAGTGGTTGATGCGAAGCCAGAACACAATTGAAAAAATAATTAAAAATAATTAATTAATTTTGACTGTAAGGTGGTGGAAATCCAGGCTTCTCCGAGTGTGAAGACCTTACGACCTGAACAGAGAAGATGCAAGTATCCAGACGAATGGATCAGCGATTCTATAAGAGTAAGAGCAAACTCAGTTTTTCTTTTAATAGGGTGGCAAATGAGTAAAGTGCCGACCATGGATACCTTTACAGTGTCAAACTCTTACTGACTAAGAAGTACTAAAAACTACCCCGTTCCTACTCCTGCACTTCAAGCCGGAGCCCCGGTAACCTGTTAGGTTCTCCGCAGCTCGACTTTTACACTATAAGCCAGTATTTTAAAGTATTGACATAATATGCATCGTTGGCCGAGTGGTCGCAAGTGCGACTGCCAGGCAAAGGATCACGGGTTCGATTCCCGGATCGGGCAAAGTACTACTGGGTTTTTAAAAAAAATCTCACTAGCAGTACGGAGTCTGGAATTGTGCCCGGTATATGGCAATAGGCTCACAGTCACCCCCTATTACATGGGACTCATAGCATAAATAGTGAAAAGTGGGTGTTACATAGTACAGTGGCATAATGTACACCTCTGCCTACTTCTTCGGGGATAAAAGGCGTGATGTTATGTTATGTAATATGTGACATAATATTGTGATGTATTTCTGATTTCAGGCATACAGTTTTTCTCTATGTCAGATGCACTGCCGCAGTCGTATGGCTGTCATGTTCTGTGGATGTAGACCCTACTTCCACGTCAAGGGAGGTGAGCATTACTTCGCTTTTTGAAGGATTTATCCTAATGTATGTGATGGACTAACGGCCGAAATTAATAACCTATCTCGATCCAAATTCTGTGGATTGTTTAACTTAACACATATAGGTAGTACCATAGTTAAGACGTTATGAGCGAGAAAGAGATAGCGCTAGACCGAAAGCATTGGCCATCTCTCTTAGTCTTTTCAAACCAAAAAAATTACTGCAGATTATACGCGTACGGCATGTTCATTAGTATAATAATACATAAATATGTCGATGTTAGTACGAGTTTGTTTTACGTTTAAAGCAATCGTAACGAGTACCCGTTCAGCGCTCTGATTGGTTGTTTCATTCGAGCCAGCCAATCAGAGCGCAGAACGCATACTCGTTTCGAAAACTTTAGACGTAAATCAAACTTGAACTAAGGCCTCAGAGCGCTGAACGCGTACTCGTTTCGAATACTTTAGGCCTCTGAGCGCTGAACGTGTACTTACTCGTTTCGAATACTTTAAAAGTAAATCAAAACAAGGCTTCAGATCACTAAGATCACTTGATCACTTGATCAGTGTCGCTAATGGACACGTCTACCAACTTTGTCATAATAACAGCCTAACAGCCTGTGAAAACTCTTTTTTTTAACGTCTTTGGTGAAAACAAGAGCAAAGGAGTTTATATTCGATAATAATATTTACAAGAGTGCTGGCAAGTGACAAAAAAAATACGTTCATCACATGGATAATTATTAGATTGCAAAACTTTGACATTAGCTGTTAAAAGAAAACTGTCAAAGAAAATTTTCAACACAACATTCATTATATTGAAAAGAAAAATAATAATAACAAGTTTATTCGTTTAGTTTAAATATTTATTTCTATCGATTCATTTTCGTTCAGTAAAACGTTTTAGGTATTTCGTTTTACGATTTGGTATCTCGGTTGCGTTTGACGTATTACATCGATTTATGAAAAGGTAAGTCATCCGAGGGGCTATGAAATCTGACTCCACAGTCAGATCACATCAGATCGGCTCGTACACAAAATTGCGATGCGACGTCGCATCGCAAAAATGTGCGAGCTCCCTCTGCGAATCGCAAGAACTTACGAATTGATTCGCATCGCGCATCAAAACCTTATCTTCCCAAAATCATATTTGTTTCTTTTTCCTGTATCTCCTAAGCAATAACAGAAGTGCACACTTCTTTTTACGATCCATGTCACGACCTAGTTTTCAATTTAAAATACGTTTAGTACGGTTGACGGTCGTCGATGGAATGGTCACCCTGGGATGCGCCTTGTCGCACGAAATCGCATCGCAGCAATGCGTGTCGTAATTTTCTGCGTTGTGAATTCGCATCGCATCGCATCGCAGTTTTGTGTACGAACCCTCAAGGTGGTAGAGTTTGTCATCATCCCCTCTGTTCACCCGAAGGAGCACAAGACCGTTTGGTGGAAACTGGATTGCAGCTTCCTTTGAATTCCATGTTCCATTACATCTAATGGGCTCCCAAGTTTTAACCCTTTGAGTACCGCCATTATAGACACAATTAAAGAACAATAGGTTGCGGTGACCGGTGTACTCGCGGTGTTTGACAGTTAGGTATTTCTTCTGTCACTCGTAAGCTTGTTTAAAATGATTAGTCACGTCTCTCAACTGGTTTCAAGCCACACCCGGGACCCATGATAAATTATGTGTTTAGACTCGAGAGCATGCGCACACAGTTTATAGTTGTTGTCTCAGTGATCCTGGAAGAAGGTCGACCTTTTTTAACCGATTTAAAAAGAAAACAGAGGTTCCTAATTTGAACTAGGTATATGTATGTATATACTAGCTTTTACCCGCGGCTTCGCACGCGTCACAAAAGGATAAAAAGTAGCCTATGTGACATATACCAATACACACAGCGCCATCTATACCAATACTTTTGTTTTTCCTCGGGAATATCAAATTTTTTCGTGATAAAAAATACCCTATTATTTAATCCAGACTTCTAACTTTACGTCTGCAAAAATTCAAAGCAATCGGTTTAGTAGTTACGGCGTGAAAGCGGAACAAAGAAACAAACTCACTTTCCGATTTATAATATTAGTAAGGATGTAAGGATGTATGTGCGCGATTGGCTCAACCGATTTTATAATTGTGGTTTTCAGAATAATTTCTTAGGTACACTTAGGATAAGGAGGCTTCCTCTTGAATCCAATTCCGATCGATCGACATTGGTATTGTGAAATTTTCAACTCTTTAGTCGCATCACTAGCGCCCATTGCATCTGTATTGCGTGGATATTGAATGAACTAAATGGTATTGAGTTTGGCTTTATATTCCGTATTCTGAATGCTATTTTAACAGCTACGATAGGGGTTGTATAGAGTTGACATTGAATAATTATTGAGATTTTATTGGATTGAAATTGCACTGACATTGTGATTGGATTCGAGAGTAAGCATCAAGATTTTAGTACCTATATTAAACTAATCAACTTAAAAACAGAGGGGGTTGAAGTCAGTATTTTTTTTAAATGTAGTTTTTTAAAAGAATATTGTACTTATTATGAGTTTTGATTCAAATTTGTCATAATTTAATTTAATTTTGAAAGATGGCGACGTGTGCGATGCGCACGGGATGGCGTGCATCGGCCGGAATGTGGAAATCCTCATCAATATACCAAAGAACCTTGCTAAATGCACATGTCTACCCCAATGCGCCGAACTCAATTATTACTCTCACACAAAAACGATCCTTGTTCGGTAAGTAGTAAGGCTGTGTTTCCTTCCAACTATTGATTTAAATTTTAATAGAATCTAGATGTTTTTTTAAACAGCTACGTAGTTTGTTCATGTTTATTACTTACAAATAAAAACGATTCTTATTTGATTAAGAATTAAGTTCGTTTTTAAATAAGAGTAAAAATTTGTATCGACCTTTTCAAGTTTCGTTATAAAAACTAATATAAAAAAATTGGTAACTAGGTTTAGAACCTAGTTACCAATTTTTATGGAGATTTCAATAACATAATTTAACCAACATGAATGGGACTACACCGGGTTCGGAGGAGGATCCTCGGTCAGCGATCAGAATCAACATGATGCCGCCAAAAATCAGGCTGAATAGGGACATCATATTCACGTTGGAAGACCTCTTTGGTTCGTTTTTATCAAAAAAGAAACAAATAATTTAATAACACTGTTTAAAGCACATTTTTGCATCTTTTTTTATAGCGTCTGAATTTATTTTCATAGCATATTGTTGTAGTTCGAATTTAATTTGCTATACCAAACGATTTCTTTTATTTGCTTTCGCATGGCTTTTCTGTGGTGAGTTATTATCATTTTTAATTGAATTTGTACCTGAAATTAGCAATGTCAATATTTTTGCTATCTTTTACTGATTTTGTTTTTGGATTTTGCACGTTGGTAAGTAGATACCTACCTACCTTACTTGTTTTTTAAATGACTGGTAAAGTTCCTCTGCTTGTTTTTTTTGTGTATCATGACGGTGGCAAGAAAAGCACACGGCCCCATGGTGAGTGGTTACGTGTCGCGGAGAACCTAACGGGTAACCGGGGTTCCGGCTCGAAGCGCAGGAGAAGGAACGGGGTGGTTTTTAGTCAGTAAGAGTCTGACACTCCCTCCTGCCTCACTCAGGCGGGAGCAGTCATTCGGTGATTTTTCTCCCCTTATAAAAAAAGTGGTTACGTGGCCTATGGACGTTTGCAACACTTTGGGGCATTACATGCGCCTTACCGACCCTTATGAAGCCTATTTGGTTCACGCTGGCACCGTCTGGTGGTGGTGGAGGTGCGATAGACCCCATCATGTAACTGTCGCATACTGGCTGGTGCTGAAAATCAGCGCTGTGGACTCAAGCCTTCGTGCCCGAGCCGCAGCATTAAGCTGAGCTCCGGCATTTTGCGCTGCGACGCACCGTGAGCTTTCTTTTATATGTTCTTGCATTGTCTGTCTGCATGTGTATCGTGGCGTAATGAACGGAAAACCGTCTATTTCGATAAAAGGAAACAACGATTATAGAAAATTTTCTTTCTTTTTTCTATTTATGAACTTCTTTCTTGAAGAACCCCATGTCTACTGGAAAAACCTCGGCACTACTTGTAGAAGTTGTGGCACTCATTTTGTTTCATAATTTTATCAAATTTACAAACACCTATCTATATACTTTCGCTTCCGTTCTTCACACGATTTTATTTAATTTCACTCAATTGACTTGCAATAAATTATACGTAGGTAGTACCTAATACATTTTTGTTGAATGGGGATGGGGCCTACCGTATTTTTGCTCAGTAGGCACTAGTGTGAACCTCTCGTTCTCCCTCAAATAGGGAATTTGCCATTGGACGTACAATATTTGGCAGCAGCTGTGATTGGACAAAACACCCCTTCCTACATTTGCGCCATTTAGTGAGCAAAAATATAGTAACCCCTAATAAAGATGTCGCAAATAATTAAAAATTTCTTCCAGCGTCCCTAGGTGGCACCACTGCGCTGTTCGTAGGGGCCAGTGTGCTAACTGTGGTCGAAACTGTCCTCTTCATCCTTAGGCATCTGGTCAAGCTCATCATCAGAAGGGGGGCACGAGGCAGGGTTGTGGAGTTTAAACCTTAAGCTAAAAAATTAAGTTCTAAAATGTAATGGTGTGATTTGTTCTCAATAAATTATAGTACGCGTGTTTCTTTACATTGTAAGTTACTTAGGTAATTTTATTAATAAAGCCTGTATTTGTTAGAAAAGATGGAAAAACAAGCCAGTTAGAAGTTTGGTATAGTAATGTTCTTATAATACTAATTATATAATAATTATAATTTGTATCAAATTAAAGAGCCTAAGAAATAATAATAAGTTTTATTTATAATCATTTGCGTAATGACAGTTATCTCATTAAGTATGATTTGAGTTGACCTAAGTAAAAGGGTAAATATGTTTTTGCTTCTACGTTAAAATCATAAAAACATGACCTTGAATTAAATGTCAGTCAGACAGTTATTAGCACCTTGGTACTGAATTTAATAAAACTCGTAAAATGAGGAAGAAAATTTTCTGTAAGTAATTCAAATTAGTAAATAACTAAACGTTAACTCGATAACAAGGAGAATTAACAACGAAACGTAGGATGCTGTCATAATGCCCCTCCCACTTTACAAATGTATTTATTTTCGAAAAATCTAACCTAAATTTTAACATAAAAATAACAACGAACGAACGACTATCATGTTTTTCACAATGCTGACGTTTATCTTAAACGCATTTTATTATACGTTTTCGTTTTTTTATTATCTAATGTCATTTTGTCATACAGTTCTGCCTTTTGGTTTGGACGTCGGTTTAGTCGGTTTTGCTGCGTATTATTTGACTAAATTGAAGAAACCTGAGCCTCAAAATGTGCTTAGTATATTTGGACCGGATCCTTGGGGTAAGGAAAGTCAGCAGCACCCAGAAAAAGTGGTGCGTTGTATCGCTCACAGAGGCGCTGCTTTGGACGCTCCAGAGAACACCATGGAGGCCTTCAAGTATGTGAGTAAACCTCTTTGGTTGTAATATCAGGATTTAGTAACCAAAAAGATCCTACATAGGCTGCAAAAAGGTTGTATAATATAGTTTGTTATGGCTAGAAAAACAGTACACAAAATTGTAAACAAGAAAAGGTAGAATTTTAGTTTGCAAGACTAATTAGAAATTATTTATATGAAAAAAGTTCTATAACGTAGATCTTATTAGTATGTTTAGATACTAGCCGTGCCCACGACGTCCGTGTGGAATAGTGATTCACAGCACCTCCCCCATAGGTGATGAGTGATTAAGTATATGAAACGTATATGTTGACCTGTGCTGTTGGTAATATTCATGCATAATTTAAAGTAAATCCAATCCATGCAGCACTTTTTGAGTTTCCCCCAGACTTACATATAGACAAAGGGACGAAAATTCTAAAAACCATGTTATTTTTTTGCTTCAGTATCGCTTCTAGATCATACCCCAAGCATTCTTTACTTTCCTACTATTTCGTTATATGTATAGATATAGATTCTTTGAAGTAATATTTGAAGAAATTAAAATTCTTGTACTGTTTCTTATTTAATCAAAAGCTAGTAACTAAATCCAGCTTCCATCATGACTCTCCAACGAGTCCAATATAATATGTATTCTAAGAGTACTTTGATCAATGTCCGACTCATGGTTGGTGCGGAGGCTGGACAACCAGCAACATGGTTCAACAACACTTTGTGCAATCCACAAATTGTTGTTCCGGGTGTGGGTGGCAAGTGTATATGAACTTGTATGTTTGTAAACGCACCCACAACACTAGCAGTGTGGGGCAAAGTTAAAAGTCCAAAATGGTCCTGTATAGTTATATGCTCAAGGGCCCCAGTGTACTCTTAGACAGCCTTGTCCACACTCTAAATCCAATCATCAAAATCAAGACAGCATCTTTATAATCCATACCAAAACAGAATGAGTGTAAGCAGTATACTGTTAACTTAAAGAACTCCTTGGCAACTAGCGAAAACTCACTATCCAGTCTATTCTTGCCCATGAAAAGACAAGAGAGTGAATAGTATGTAGAGTACCTAAGGATAAGTAAATAGATTTCACGGTATAGACTGGTAGGGGTCTATAACGGGTAACCGGGGCTCCGACTCGACATGCAGGAGAAAGAACGGGGTGGTTTTTAGTCAGTAAGAGTCTGACACTCCCTCCCGCCTCACCCAGGCGGGAGCAGTCATTCGATGATTTTCCCCCCTTAAAAAAAAAGGGGTCTATACCGTGAAATCTATTTAGTTGTCGTCTCGTGGCTAATCAACTTGCCATAAGGACTACTTTCGATGTATAATGGAAAAAATAAAGATATAATTTTTTGTTAGTACATAACATAACATCACGCCTTTTACCCCCGAAGGGGTAGGCAGAGGTGTACATTACGGCACTTAATGTCATTGTCGAATGTAACACCCACTTTTCACAATTTATGTTATGAGTCCCATGTAATAGGGGGTGAGCCTATACCGGGCACATTTCCAGACTCCGTGCTACTATTGAGATTACAAAAAAACAGTAATACTTTGCCCGACCTGGGAATCGAACCCGAGACCCCTTGCCTGGCAGACGCACTTGCGCCCATTTGGCCTATGAGGCAGTCTTTTTAATCCAAATAAAGAATTTCATGGAAATTTGTGTGCACTATTCGCATCGCACGTGCCATCCGACGAGACATACCTCTTCGAGAATTACACGGCGGCGTGATGTTTTGATAATGTACTATGAGTTCGTATGCGCTTTCGAAGTTTGCTTTCTGCAATGGTTCACCAGTTACTTTTTGTTTTAAACATTTTATTTCCTTGTAAAACTATAGTATTACCGAGACAGAACTATTTTACTTCGGGATTTTAGTATAGGTATGTATAGATATAGATAAGATAAAAATTTAGGTAAGTAAATGGCAATGAACAGCCTTTAAGCACCATTTAGTGCATACAATAACCAAGTTCTCTTGGATTTTTACACGTCAATAACAATACATTTCCATAAAATTCCAGTGCGTAGAACACGACTGCAATATAATAGAGCTGGACGTACGAGCGTCCAGGGATGGCAAGCTCATACTCCTTCATGACGAGGGCTTGGAACGGCTGACTGGTACCGATATATCCAGTGTTAGGACTACTGACTGGGATCGGATCAAGGATATTGATGTCGGGTCTACGCATCCTAACAGGTTTGTGATAATCAAAAACTTTATTCATGCAATTGCTGTAACAACCCAACTTATCAATTAAGTAAAATCTCGGGTTACTCACGTGAATATACTGAGAAAAGCTCTACTAGTTTCGAACCACAGAGGGGTTCTTCCTCATGAGCAGCGTGCTGAGTTAACCAGTGAGCTGCGCGACGTCGCCGCGACCGCGCATGCTGCTCATGAGGTTTTTACTTAATTTAGTATGTCTCACGATAGTTATTATAAAAACAACCCAATTTATCAGTTATAACCCCCCCCCCTAATCCCGGAATCCCCAACAATCATCAAATTCCTAATACCCAAAAGGCCGGTAACGCACTTGTAACGCCTCTGGTGTGTCCCGGGTGTCCATGGGCGGTGCCTGCTTACCATCAGGTGATCCAACTGCTCGTTTATAAAAAATCAGCAATTCGAGTAGTAATTCACGTCGAGCATGAGTAGCAATAAAGGACTATAAATTTTGTTAGTCCGGTCAAATTACATCAAAAATAAGATTGAAACTACGTAAATTCTCATCAAGCTAAAATCAAGTGGAATTGTTTGAAACGCAATTAGGTACTTTCCTTAAGCCTTTGACTGCCGACAGAAAACTGTTGAAAGCAAATCCTCCGCTAGCGTAGATCACTGGTGACTAGTGTTGTTACGGTGACATACGTGGCCGTTAACATGTTAATCAAAATAAATTATTTCGACTGTTCAATACAATTCAATATTAAAACATAATCACACTTTCATTAATTGGTTTTATGACCAACTTAATTTTAGTATTTTTCCAGCAAATTTTTAAGATATAACTATGCTGTTTGACGCTAAAAAACCGTGACGTCACAATACACAATCTCGTACAAAATTCATAGAAAACTGCCGTTTTTGACAGTTCGAAAAAAGTATTGAATTTGACTAGTTGGCAAATACAGTATAAAAAACTTTGTCCCCATAGTTCTAATATTCCCCACTAGCTTTTACCCGCGGCTTCGCTCGCGTCACAAAAGTATAAAAAGTAGCCTATTAGACATATATATGTAATACACACAGCGCCATCTATACCAATTTTTTTGTTCTCCCTCGGGAATATCAAATTTTTCCGGGATAAAAAGTACCCTATTATTTAATCCAGACTTCTAACTTTACGTCTGTAAAAATTCAAAGCAATCGGTTTAGTAGTTACGGCGTGAAAGCGGAACAAACAAACAAACTCACTTTCTGATTTATAATATTAGTAAGGATTCATCTCTCTATCTGCATAAAGTTCAAAATCGCCTACACATATCATAATCGATAAAGGTGCTCCATCTAAATAAAGCTTAAAATCGCCTGTCCGACTCAACACCTCCATGACTTGTAAAAAAATCCTATAGATACTTCTAACAATCGACATAAGACTCAAAATCGTCTATCTATTTCCAGGAAGCAATTCAAAGACGTTCGCCTCTGCCTTCTAGACGACGCGCTAGATTATCTGTTGGCGAATAACGTCAAAATTATAATCGACGTTAAAGGCGAAGACAAGCAGGTATACAGCCAATATTATATTGTACATTTTTTTAAGTGCCTGACTCGCACAGCAGAACTGTGGAATGATCTGTCGTCGGCGGTATTTCCGACCCGATACGAACTTCAAACCTTCAAGAAAAGAGCGTACTCCTTTTTAAAAGGTCGGTAACGCATCTGTGTCTCCTCTGGTGTTACGGGTGTCCATGAGCGGCGCTGATCGCTTACCATCCGACTAATTATTGAGTAGTGGCCCCCTCACTATAGTCAAAGTCAAAGTCATTTATTTCAATTAGACCATAGAGGCACTTTTGAACGTCAATAAAGAAAATTAACAAGTGAAGCTATTTGCTCATTCCAAGGTGTAGATTCCTATGGAGAAGAACGAGCAAGAAACTCCATAGGTTACTCTTTTTCAATCAAGTTTACAATTCTCCAGTTACTTGTTAATGTGTTATATAAGGTAGGACACTCGTCATTAACGCCGCTGTCTACCCGCCATACTCTAGTGTGTGTACACGTCATGCGCCCTGCACATTATTGTAATAAATCCAAGTAAAATAAATCCGACTATAATTTATTAATCCACCAACATAACAGCGCTGATTACCATCAGGTGATCCGTCTGCTCGATTGCCTCCTATTCCATAAAAAAGTGGAAGTTGTCCTTTTATTTATATTGGGGTAAGGTTTAATTTCAATTGTGGTCAATTTGTGTGTTCTATCCGATATCAAAGTAGTCTTTCTGATTTTGGTTATGCTCGACTTGTTTAGAGCCAAAACGGGGTCCGAAAGCTGTGAAGATTATTCAATTCGTAAAGTCTTACAATAAAAAATGGTTGCCTGTAAAGTCGTTTTTACGGGCGAAGATTTTACGTGACAACGTCTTTTTCTCGGTAGAATATTTATTGATATGAATATAATTAAATTGCACAATAGGAACAAGGAATTGAATGAACTAGTGCTGCGCACGCGGCAGACCGATCATAGTTGAGTGGTCGAGAGACGCAAGGCATTCGGGGGGCCTCTCTCTCGTTCGGTGACTCATCGTAACGTTACTGAGCGTTACACTTTTTCATAAGTGACTCCCAGCCGCAACCTAATTTAAGACGTTGTCACGTCAAAAAAATGTTGCATTTACAAGAGGATAGTTTATTTAAAATTGCGAAAGGTTTTATTTTCTAAACAATGTGCTATTTACCTATTATAAAATGAACTAGTAAAAAGATGCACTTTATAAGTGCCATATTACCTAACCACTGTACTTACACAGGGCTACACATCGAGCTTTACATAACCAGTATAAACTGAACGTTAAATGTGCGGAAAGATGATGCGACGCGACACCAGGATAAACTGGTTTTGTATAGATTGATGTGTGGGTGTGTGTACATTGAAATATCAACCTTATTTCCTATACATTACGCCACACATTTGTTTAACAATCCACATACGCCATAAGTTCATAGATTATATTGACGGCAGGTGATCGCCGGTATCCTGAGTGCGTATGCGTCGCGGCCGGCGTTGCACCAACACGCCGCTGTTACGTGCTTCAATCCATTCGTACTTTATCAGGTAATTTTTTTTTTTTTATATTTATCTTTATTGGCCCACCAACAATTGTATACATTCTTACATTAAATAACAAACATTTAATTAAGATAACAGTAAAATGTTACAATCAATTACAGGCGAGCACCGCATTCTTTAAGAAAAAAAAAAAAAATATCAATAATTGCATACAAAATTAGAATACAAGATGTTGGCTAAAAAATCAAATTAAGTTTGCATTAATTTACATTAATAAATTAGCAATAAATTAATTGGAGGAAAGAAAACGCTACAATAGAATAATATGAAACCAAAGCCAAAATTAAAATCAAAATCAAAATCAAAATCAAAATCAAAATCAAATTTAAGGTAAGCAGATGTCATAACGATTTATACCTACCTTTTTTGTGGGGGAAAATCATCGAATGTCTGCTCCCGCCTAGGTGAGGCGGGAGGGAGTGTCAGACTTTTACTGACTAAAAACCACCCTGTTCCTTCTCCTGCACGTCGAACCGGAGCCCCGGTAACCCGTTAGGTTCTCCGCGGCTCCGTAACGGCGTCAGCCCTATTGGTCTCTATTCGTGGTAGTCCGATGGGTCTTTGAGGCGCGCGCGGACCTCGACGCGTTTCTGGTCGTACGGTGAGCTACCCATGTTCACCGTCCGCAGGCCCGAGCTTACAGTGGCCGGAGATCGCATTAGAGGAGCCTTACCAGCCTTTTAGGGAATGGGGGATTGAGATTCGAGAAATTGGTAATGAGAGGATAGTTTAGCATTCCGGTAATTTCACTCAGAGATAACACTTAGTTGTTTCACGTTTTGTAGCTGTCAACATGATGATATTATGTTGCTAACATCGCCATTATTTATTAATTTAATTTTTGCACGCATACTATACAAAAGACAACACATATCGCACCTACGGTGCAATATCGTCACTTATGCAATTTTTGTCAAAACTTAACTGATTATGAAAGAATACTCCAAATTCACCTCTTTACTTGGTGCGTTTTTTTTTAAGGGGGGATAATCATCGAATGACTGCTGCCGCCTGGGTGAGGCGGGAGGGAGTGTCAGACTCTTACTGACTAAAAACCACCCCGTTCCTTCTCCTGCACGTCGAGCCGGAGCCCCGGTTACCCGTTAGGTTCTCCGCGACTCCGAATCGGCATCGGCCCTATTGGGCCCCATCTGTGGTGGTCTGATGGCTCTTTGAGGCGCGCGCGGAACGCGACGCGCCGTACGCTCGGGTCTGTTTCTGGTCGGACGGGGAGCCACCCATGCTCGCCGTCCGCAGGCCCGCGCTTACGGTGGCCGGAGATCGTCCCGCGATCCCCGACGCCCGGTGTGTCCTTCGCGATGGCTGGGTTGCGAGGAGGCAGCGCTTCGCTGCCTCACGCGTCCCGCCTCCTCCTTAGCTAGCATGACTGCTTCGCAAAAGGAGGAGACGGCATCCCA